GAGGGGGGCGCCGGCGGGCTCCTCTGGTCCACGGAGCCGGGGCCCCGGGCTCGGTTCTCCGGGCGGCTGCCGGGCTGAGAGGTCAGAGGGGCTCGAGCTGGCGGGCCGGCCGCGTGGGTTGTCTCCCCCGCCGGGGGCTGAGCCCGGAGTCCTGGGCGGGACCGCGGCGGAGCCGGCAAGGCGGGCGGGCGAACCGAGCAGCCCTTGGTCCGGTTCGGCTGCTGCGGAGCCGCGCGGCTCGCGCCGCCTCAGCCTTGCCTCGGTCTCCGGGCGGCGAGCGAGCCGATCCCGGCCCTCGCCCCTTCCGCTTCCCCGCCTCACCGGCTTTCCTCCGACTTTAGACACCAGGGAGGTGAGGGAAAGGTGGCTCCCCAATATCTAAAGATAGGAAACAGCAAAGACGGAAAAACCGATCAAAGCCAATGCGAAGAAACAAAAACCCACAGGGAAAGAGGCAGCGCAGTAACGACCGAAAATAAACACAAAGGAAGAGGTGTGCAGCTAAAGGGGCTGTGTATGACTCAGCCCGGCTGTGCTGGCGCTCAGCTAAGCAGAGTGAGGCGGGCAGGCCCCCCAAACCGTCAGCTTCCCAGCCCCGCACCCCGAACCTGCCCCTCACCGCGGCTGGGCACCCTAACCCGCGCTGCTCAGTCCTGCGCCCGCCCTTCCTCTCCTCTCCGGCACCCCTCCGCTGGCCTTCATCCCGCTCGCTGCTTCTCTCCCTCTGCCCCTTCTTTCTCTCCAGGCTTCTCCATTCGTCCCCCAGCTCTCCCTGTGGGTCGCAAGGGTCTCATTCGTTCTTTCTCAGCCCTCTGCCTAGCGTCTGGGCGCCCGCGCCTCTCCCTCTCTACCTGGCGGTTCCAATCCCTAATCTTCACGTACTGATCAGCGCCACCATGTCCGAGAGTTCAGGGATGCACCCCTCGGCCCTGCCTGCTCCCCTTGCCCGTCCTGGGGTTCTGACCCTGACTAATGGCTGGTCCCTGCTGTGTGTGGGGTGCTGTCTTTTTCTTGTCTCTCCCCAGCAGGGCACGGGGGTGTGAACCAGCTCGGGGGGGTGTTTGTGAACGGCCGGCCCCTACCCGACGTGGTGAGGCAGCGCATCGTGGAGCTGGCCCACCAGGGTGTGCGGCCCTGTGACATCTCCAGGCAGCTTCGGGTCAGCCATGGCTGTGTCAGCAAAATCCTGGGCAGGTGAGGGCTGGAGCCTTGGGGAGACTCCCCGTCTCCTTCCCCAGCCGAGCACTGGCTAAAAATTGAGGCACTGGGTGGGAGAGAGGGAGATGCTCCAGCTCCAGGGACCCAGACAGCTGCTGCGTTTGGGAAGGGCTCTCACTTGGGGCAGAAGAGCAGTGTCAGCCCCGTGCCTGCCCTGCTCCAGGGCCCCTGAAGGCTCCCACTCCTGGCGTCAGAAGGGAAAGGGCTCTTTTTTCCAGGGACTTAATGTGGCTGTGGTCAGGGGAGTACTGTGGGGTGGGGTGTGGAAGCAGACCCCAAGAGACAGCACTGGGCAGGCAGAAGGAGGGCCCTGGCTCCACGGGGGCCCCTGCACGAGGTAGGAAAGGGCTGGAGGTGGTGTTTCAGCCCCAGGCTTTCCCTCCAGGGGCACATATTTTGGTGACTGGTGCGCGCCCAGCCCCTGGTGTGGCTGTCTCTCCCTCCTGACGCCCCTCACCTTAGCTGAGCACCCTCTGGAAGTTGGCTTGGCCACACTGGCCCTTTTCCCTTCACGCCCTGCCACTCAGCGGCTCTGCAGCCTGCAGCCCCCCTACCCCGACGCCTGCCGTCACCCGATTCCCGCTGACCCCGCCGGCTTCCCGGCGCAGGTACTACGAGACTGGCAGCATCAAGCCTGGTGTGATAGGTGGCTCTAAGCCCAAAGTGGCAACGCCCAAGGTGGTGGACAAGATTGCTGAATACAAGCGACAGAACCCAACCATGTTCGCCTGGGAAATCCGTGACCGGCTCCTGGCTGAGGGCATTTGCGACAACGACACAGTGCCCAGCGTCTCCTCCATCAACAGGTGAGCAAGCTCCCTGGGCCGAGTCCTCAGGACTCAGCTCCCGGCTCCTGCATGCTGTAGGTCTCCCCCAGGGCGTGGGCTCTGCCCTTTGTCCGGCCTCTGCCCTTCTTCGGGCTCCCAGCCTGCAGTGTCTGGCAGGGAGAGGGTACCTACAAGGCAGAGAGATAGACAGACAGACAGAACTGTCTCCGGCTCAGAGCTGGGTATTCCCTGCCAGGCTTCTCCCCACTGGTGTCCTGGAAATGAATCCAAGTGTTTGTGGTAATTAAGACTCCAAGATTACGCGCCTCAGGATCTAGGGACAATCACAGCCCGTAGTGAAGCCTTTAAAATGACCAATGTCTATTCACGGCCTCCAAACAGATTTCCCGTTCTTAAGACGTGCGCCTGTCTGGGGGCAGCCTGGGTCCTGGCTCCCTCGCCACTCCCACAAAGCTTGCCTCCCAAGTTTGCTAGCCAGCTCTGAACAAATTTCCGGCCTAGAAGCACTGGCATCCAGGCCTGTGGAGCAAATGCCAGCCACCAGCCAGCAATTGGCAGGGAGTAGAGGAGCTGGACAAGGAGAAGGGTGCCGGGCAGCGGGGAGAACTGGGAGCCTGAGAGGGAATTTTGCGGGACGCTCCACATACCTAAGGTGCCAGATTTGAGACTGAAGTCTTTGTACTGATGACAGCTTCGAGCGCGTGAGGTGACAACAGGCCAGAGTCAGCTGACATCTACGATTGTTAGGTCCCTGCAGCACTCCACCTTGCCCTCTGAGAGAATCCACGGGCACCCTCCGTGCATGTGCACCTTGACTGCGTGCCAGATGCTTCTCTGGGGTGGCCACAGAGCAAAAAGCAACAGGTGAACCAGGAGCTGCTTCCTGATTGCAGAGCTGTATAATCCGACCATTGCACACAGAGACCCTGTGCAAGTCATGGCCTGCCAGAGGCAAGCCCCCTTTTTAAAGTACCCTCAGGTGAGAAAGGGCTGAGTTTCACACCATTATTCTTTGCCCTCTTCACAGACTTGTTATTATGAGTACAACCAATAGATTGGGTGGCACTTTTTTCTGCAATTGGCATCACCTATCATAGGACTTTTTTTTAATATTTTGCAAATGATGTGGAATTATCCCAAATCATCTTGAAAACAGCAGGTAAAATTAGCGGGTAGAATGTACCTTGGCTAAAGAAGATTCCCTCTGCCACACTTGTGCTGTAACGTACTGCGAGGCGACCCCAGAAATTATCCCAGTGTGTGCCATCTGTATTAAAATGGTTCTTTAGTTATGAACAGGGTAACATAATACTGATCAGCTAATTATGCACCCTCCGAAACCATCCAGCTCCCTGGGCCTGGCTCAGCCAGGTATTGAAAACATGTCAGTTGGACATTCAGACACTTTCCAAAGGAGCTAGAGAAAGACTCCGGTTTGGGAGAGGAATGTGTACATCGTATTTAAAAGTTGGGAGGCTAAGGCAGGATGTTGGTAGGGAAGGGGAGGGAAAAAGCACTGCTTTCTGAGTCATCCCAACTGTGCGTCTTGCCAGATTCCTGGCGCTGGCTGTGAGCTGGAGTTGAGGTTGTGTGTGGAGTGGGGCCAGGGTGGGCTGCTGAGGAGCAGTGTGCCACCTGGGCAGTGGTGCTCTGGAGAGCATTTGCGCGGGCTGTTCATTGCCAGGGGTGAGAGCTGCCAGCCTTTGGAGGAACCCAAGCCATTTATACAGCTAAGGCAGGCGTGGTGGCCGCCTGGCCCTGCCCAGCACCCTTTGCTCTCCTTCCCCCAACACACACCTCACTGACAGAGATGTTTTAGGGGAGCTGGCTTAGACACAGCTTAGCGATATTTTATCCTGAAAAGCCACAGAGAGCAGAGACAGGCAACCCCCCACCAAGCTCTAGAGGTCTTGAGTTGTACCCACCAACACTGGGAGAAAGCTGTGTGAGCTGACCAGGAGATGAGCGTGGGCGAAGAACAGCCTCAGGCAACAGCTCCCACAGCTGCAGAATTTGCTACCCCGCTGCCTGCGGGGTACAGGGGCCTCCTTTGGCTGTGGAGAAGTAGCGCTGTGTGGGCAGATGCTGCTGCATTTGGAGAGGACCCTGGGCCTGTGGTTAGGCTTCAGGGCCTGCTTGGTCAACAAGGCATGATCATGCTGTCCTCAGTTTAGCTTTGGCCAGAGCTTCCCATGGTTCCTTTTTGGAAGAACTCCGGTGACTTCCCAAGGTGCTACGAGGATGCCTCTGGCACCCCATTCTTAGTGTGCTTCCCACTTTGTTCTGAAAGGAAAGGTTTATCTGAGATGACAAGCACCTTCGCACCTAAGGCTAGTGTAGCCAGTTATGCAAGGAATTTGGCCCTTGCTGTGCTTTGAAAACTCTACTAGAGATTTTCCTCTATACAGAAACTGTGGTGCAGCGGGAAATGCGGCGTTTCCGAGTTCTGAGCTTTACTGTTCGTGAGGTGCTCTGCACTTGGGTCTTTTCTAACTGTTACGAGCCAGGGTGGCAGGAAGCTGCACTGGCAAAGAGGAGCTCGCATGGCCACCCACCTGAGCCAAAGGTTTTCATCTGCTCCTCCCTAAAACAGATGCTGTCGCCGCACTTGAAATATGCTGTTATGGCTATAAACTGAATTGCTCTTCATGCTTTAAAAATGGTTTTGGTTCTGTGATCCTGTCGCGATAAAGGCTTGGCCGACCAAACTGCATTCTCACTAGCAAATCCTCCTACTGGTAGAAACGCCTCTGTGGGCTACAGGAGCAGGTCAGGAAGCCTCTCCATGCCCAGAGACCACATCCGAAATCCTGAGAACTCCCTGTGTTAGCTCAGCGCGTGGGATTTACCGCATCCTCCCGAACGCTAGGTGACTGACCACTGAGCGTGGGGCTGCAGCTCTTCGGCTTGTCGGCGCTGCCGGGGAGGGCAGGTGTTTCTAAACACGTGATTCCAGATTGAACCTGGTGTGGGAATAGCCTGGCGGTGGGAGACACAGGGAGATTCGTGTTGCCAAAAGGGAGACAAATCACCTAGTCCCGTGGCTGAGAAGCTGACTGCACAGGAGGATTTCCCTGAGTATATGCAGAGTCTTCTGGTTCAGCTGTTGCTCTCAGCAGGGAGTACTGATCCTCTGAGAGGGCAGCACAGACTTCTGAAAAGTCTGGGTTTACCGAAGAACCGCCTCAAGTGCCCTTGGGATGGGCGGACAGGACGGGCACCACTTTCAAACCTTCCAAACCTGCCCTGCACTGCCCGCCCTCTGCTCTCTGCAGTGGGCCCTGCCAGAGTCTGCTGCTCGTGGTCGCCGTGCACTGGTCCTCTCCCTTACCTGCGGGGCTCCAAGTGGGCGCAGGCCTTCTCCTAGCTGTGGCAACGCTGACTTCAAGAAGGCAGCAACCCCAGCACTGTGTTAGAGAATTCTGGTCTGTGTCATTGGTTGTTCCCCGTGTCACTGTCTGGCCTTTGCCAGAGGTTTGGCAGTCGGGTGACGGTGGCCTGCTGGATAGTTAACGGCCTGTCCAGTAGGCTGAGAGCTACCCACCCTGCTGGGGTGCTGAGATGCGTTCTGGGCTAGGCTCTGTTTCTTTCCTCCGAGACTCTGGTTCTAGGTTGCCTGATTTGGCTCTGGGACCTGGCTCGGCCCGTGAGGGGGATGGAGCAGTGGTGGTGCCTGCCCCTTCTCCATACCGTGTAGCTGCTTGTCTCCGGCCCCCGGAGCCTAGCAAGCTGATGACTCTACTCACAGAAGAGACAGGACAGAAAACTGCCTCTGGACCCTGGGCTAAGCAGACTGCGGCCAGAAATGGCTGTTTCTGTCCAGGGCCCTCACTCACCGCCCTTCCCCAGACAGGGCCCTCCTCTACAGGGGTCGTCCATCCTACGAGTAGGCACCACTGGGTTTTTTTTGTTCTTTTGTTCTTTTGTTTTTGTTTTTGTTTTTGTTTTGTCTTTTTGAGACAGATTTCACTATGCAATTCAGGCTGGCCTTGAGCTCACTTTATAGCCCAGGCTGGTCTTGAACTTGCGACGATCCTCCTGCCTCAGCCTCCCTGAGTACTGAGATTACAGGCGTGCGCCACCATGCCTGGCATAACAACTGTTGATCTTACTTTTTCATACGAGCTAGATTGCCCTCCTGAGAAGTCCATTTCTGTTTCCTCAACAGTTTTAGCCTGGGCTTGTTGGCCAGTGGTTGTACTGGTCTGAATGTCTCCCTGGGGCCTGGCTGGAGGGTGTCCAGACCACTTCAAGGCCTCCACGGAGAGCGGTGGCTAGCTGCCCCGAGTTCCTGTCTCAGCTGGCAGCTTTTGAGAAGAGGCAGACAGGAGGGCTTGCTCCCAACCAGAGCTCCAGGTGGGTTGTGGAGGGTGCTGCAAAGAAGAGAAGAGAGGGGGATATCCTAAGTAAATAGGGTTCCAACTATCCTGAGAACTCAATAAAACAATCGCATTAAATATGAAGAGGCATAAATCTTGTGTCTGCACAGGTAACCTGCTCAATTGCTCTTATTATTGCTCAAGCTGCCTCCATTTATTTCCGTCCACGGCCTGGGCAGAGGCGGCTGCGTGGAGGGTGGTCTCCAGTGCAATCTTATACCCAGAGAGTAACAATCAGCCCATACAGTCAGGGATTTCGATGGGAGCCCAGGAAGGGCCCATCTGTCTGCATGAAAACCAATCAATAACTCTGTAACCAGAGCCCTTGTCCCTGGGAAATGGACAACACAACAGTTCAATAGAGGGCCATGAGGGGAAATGGCCAAGTCGGGATAGGGCCAGGCAGGAGTGGCCCCTGGAGGAAGGAAACAAGGGTGCCTGGAGAAGACAAGATTGGGGGGCTGTGGGCGTGGCCAGGAAGTGCGTGGCTTCAGGCCGATGGGCACAGAGGCAGGACTGTTGGGCAGAGCAGACCCAGGGAATCAGAGGCAACACGGGAGGTTGGGGTGGTGGGAGCGTGTGTTTTGGAGAGCCTTTGGCGGGTGCAGTGGTGGGATGTGCTTGTGGGCTGGGCTGTTA